ACATTTCACTTCACCTAATTATCATTTTCACATTTTCAACCCCTCCAAAAAACTATTACATCATCCTCTGGGGCGGGCTCCAGCTCCGTTAATAAACCTCTTCACCTTTCTTCTCGGCCTCAGTTCTCAACCATGACGACTTCTTCAACCCTAGCACGCCAGCCACGATTATTGCCAACCCTAACTGTGGACTCGACAGATACTCGGCTCTTCATCTTCATCTCGAAAGGACCATTCCCCTCGGAGTTCCGTTGTCGAATCTGCAGCGGAGCAGGCCACATTGTTCGTCAGAAACCAAGCATCGCGCCTTGTACGTTATTGCTATTGTCTGCTTTGCAGTAAGTAAGACACAAAGTTTGTCATTTATCTAATTGGCCCTCCACGAACCACGCCACACAGCGGTCCACACACATAAAACCAACCCCATCATACAAAAATTTTTACTGTATGGTAGTTCCATTAGTAATCTTGTGCCTTGTAGCAAAATTTAGGATCTTGCTATTGAATTTTAGCTGCTTGTCTAACTTTTCACCGCTTGATTATTTTAATTAAGTAAGCTATTTCGCAGATTTTTGTTTGGGTGCGCTACGATTTGTTTTTAGCATTCTGCTTTTGGCGAATCATTCTGATCATAAAGTTTAGTCAGTGCTGCACGCTTGACATTTGTATGTGTCGCACGTTCTGGTTTCCACTACTGTTTAATCAGTAAATGAATTCAGCAGCACACTCCGTTGCCAGTGGGAGGAGGAACAGGTTTCAAAGTGGCCTTTTTTTTGCAAAAGTGTCACATCTACAGTCAGCTTTCGTGATCGAATATGTGCGCTTGTGCATTACTTTAATTTTAGTGAATAATTTATAAGCTACTTAATATTGTGTTACCCAGTCCTGCTTTCTTAATTTTTACTTCTGGATTGATCAATTTTTTCAGACCAAGTCAAATTTCTCCCTCTCCGAATTTCAAATTTTTGTTAATCAAATTTCTAGTTAAAAAAAGCATAAAAACTGACACAGCAAGGAGGTCAGGATTGAAAAAATTAGCGAAAGAAGTGGGACCAGCCTTGCGCATGGTGATCACTGCTTCAACGGGATAATCTCCTTTAGCTGTCTCGCTGCTCAGCATCACACAATCCACGCCATCAAGCACTGCATTCGCCACGTCACTCCCTGGAATTCCATATGGTCGCCTGGACCGGTGTCAGCGAAGTAATCCAAAACAAATCTTGGTAATTATTGCTAGCGACCGAACCAAAACTTGCACAAATTACTGCACAGAAGTGTCTGATGTGCACTTTTTATACTTTTTAATCAAAGATGCTTATTATCAACTAGCCTTCAGCACGTGTGGGCCTCGGCTTCTTGGTCATCGACTCGAGCATCTGCGTTGAACAAATTACCGGCTTTCCAGCAACGTTGCAGCGCGCAATCAACATTTTCTGCGCTGCAAATACTTTCTCGGCAGGGATCTCCATGCCCAGGTCACCGCGCGCGATCATCAGTCCGTCTGACTCCCGAATTATCTCATCCACACTAAAATGATTTTTTGCCATGTTTCCAAGAAGAGTACCTGTCATTCATCGAAGACACAGAAACCAAGAAAATGACTAGCCACTTATTTCGCATTGCTTTTTATCAGTGTTAAGTATTACATAGGAAACCGTTTCAGAACAAAATTAGTTTGGGAGTAATTTGTAGAAAGTCACGCACTTGTCGACGCTTTCCTGAGTTTCGATTTTTGCGATAATTTTGATGAAACGTCCTTTTTCACCTAGCACACGTCTGATGGCCCGAATACCTTCCGCATTCCGGATAAACGATGCAAAGATCATATCCACACCCTGCATTTATCAGCTCAGTATAGCAAACAAACTTTTCCGGCCCAAGACTAGCTGGATTGAAATTGTATGTGGCTTGAGCTTTCTGGAATCAGACTATCGAAGCCAGTTTGTTCACATGAATGTAAACGCTACGAACCTGTTCGATGCCAAACTGAAGGTCCTGTTGATCTCTGGCCGAAACGGCTGGAAGATCGCATTTCGTTCCCGGTAGATTTACACCTTTTTTGCTGCCCAACTTACCTCCGTTCTCGATCGTACACACTATTTCTTGTTTGTCTGCAGTAATGGCAATTTAATCACTATATCGTTTTAAACATATCATTTTATAAAAAAGCACAGGCCTCCTACATCGTTAGTGTCCGGAGATTGTATTCAGCGGTACGTTACACTTAAAGTCTCCTACTCGACAGCATTTGTATACATGTATTTATGGTGAATATCAAAAGTCAAAATTCCCTAGTATTAGTCCTTTACCAGAGGCGAAGGCACTTGGAAGCTATTTATAAATGATGGCAAACGATGTTAACAAGGCTGTTCGTAGCTTCATCTTTGTACGAAGCATTTATTTACTCGTATATGCTTGTAGTGCGCTGTACGTACTGTGCATGTGTATTTTATGTACAATTGCTCCGTTTGTTTCTAAGCAAGCGTTTTGCATGCTAGAAGAGCACGTAGTACTTTCACAACTCATCAGTGTGATAAGTTGCTGTTGTTTTAACAACATCATATCACACTAATCTTGGATTATACTGATCTGAGATAAAAGGTTCATACCAATGCTTTCAACCAGGAGCGAAATAAGTCCGTTGTCGATGAGAACATGGGCGCCGGGTTTCAACACCTTTGTAATATTCTGGTAATCGACGTATACCACCTGGTCATTGCACCTTGTTGCCAAAGCGCAATTCGTTGTCAGCTTAATTTTTTCGCCCTTTTTGAGGTCCACTTCTGCTGTTGGTGACTATAAAATTTACATAATCATGCTCCTGCTCGGCCTCTGTCGATATTTTTTTCTTGCTCACATCAATTCTGATCTTGGCAAAATTTTTCTTAGTCTTACGTCGTGTCTAAATGCAAATTGTTAAAACTACGTAGTTCGGCAGCTGCATTGGCTGCTTGCATTTGCATGAAATAATCAACATTGCCATACACCGTTAATGAGACCAGTCCGAATTTCTGGTCCTCTGTTGTCCAGAGCAATGGCGACGAGCTTATCCGGAAAACTCTTCGACGCCTCGCGCAGATTTTTTATCGCTTGGCTGTGAAACTGAAAAGTAGTCATAATGAGAACATTTATTCAACTATCCTATGTAGTTGCTCGTCTATCCTGTGTCTTGGCAATTTTCTACGAGAAAATGCATGAGAAATACAGAAAATTACCAGAGCTACCTGGACTACCGAGATGCATCTTTTGATGCAGCCGCCCCAGTTGAGTTGTGCTATGTCATTTTGCATATCCTGTTTGCCTGCAGTCTTTACCTTCAACCACAAGCATATAATGTACTGTCCGTCCGAACATCCTTGTAATGGGTGCTGCGGGATGCCTCTGGATTTTCCCGGAAGAAATTCAGTGAGCCATATAAGAGAGAAAACCTCGTAACTGGCGTGGCTGAAATTGAGTCGAGCGATGTTCATGCCATTAGAAATCAGTTCTTTCAGCATCTCCACGCTCTGACTTGCCGGCCCTGTCAACATTAAAAAATTTGTTCAGTATTTTTAAAAAAATTTGATGGATTCTTTTATTACTTGATATGCATCTTAATGGATGATGTAAACAACAAATGAATAGAGAATAAAGGACAGGGTGTGAGAATGGTAGCTATTTAACATGATTTAAGAAAATGTTTCAGAGCATAAGTCTTTTCAATAATTTTTTTGAATTTTCGGGATTCGGCATGTTTAAGTAAAGCCCCGAGTGTAATATTTTTGACTAAAAGTAGACAGTTTGCTACAGAGTAATTTGCCAAAATATTTATTTCCCAAACCATTGTTGCAAAGACCCGAGCCCTAGTAGGAGAATCGTCGTTGCGCTCACCAGCACTAAAGAATTAGGATAGCATATTATTTCGAGTTTTGCCACTGCTTAAATCAAGCGAAAATCCTCGAAAGCCCAAGGGCACATTTACCAGGTAAGGAAAAGGGATAAAAGTGCAAATGTCGTCTTTTATCTGATGAATCTTTAATTAACTAATAAATAATTGTTGTAAGATATTCGTGATTTTCAGGTAGTACCTCTTGAAAGCACCATTCCTCTGATTATCGCTACGATTTTGAGAATGAAATATGGAATAAAAGGAAATGCGGGTTAAGATGGTTCCTGGTTATAATACCTTTCCTTGAATACCTTAAACAGCTGTTGTTTCATCGATCTCTGATGTCACGCCATCGATGCAGTTGGCAACTTCTCCATTTCGATCGATCCTAAGCCTGACGAGACCAGGTGACACCATAAGGGCGCACGATTGGATCTCGCCATCGTGCTGGGGACCTCCCAGTGTTCGTTTCATCGCGCGTGGGTATCACTCCATTATCCGCTTCGTCCATCGGTTGTCTGACATCCCTGCTACATGACCAGCCTAACTTCTTTTTCTGGCGTACATTTCTTCGATTATATCGTTTATCCCAGATATGGCTCTGAGCACTTTGTTGGAAATGTGCTGAAGCCTGTTGACACCAACCATTCGCCGCTCCATTG